GCCGGCCTGGCGGAGGCGGGCGCAGTACTGGTCGGTGGCCTTCACGGCGCCCACCAGCCCCTCGGCGCAGCGGCGCATCTGGCCGATGGTGTCGGCCGCCTCGATCAAGTCGCGGTACCGCTCGCCCACCATCTGCCGCAGCTCCTCCTTCTTGTGCTCAATCTCGGCCCGAACCTGGCGCTCCAGCCCGCGAATCTCCTCCGCGCCATGGCTCTCGAAAAGCGCCGCGGGGTCCCTAAGATCCAGCCGCTTCAGAGCTGGGGAGGCGGCCGCGGCTGCCATGATGGACTCTTCAGCCGCCCAACAGGCTACTTCCGCCCGGGGGGGGGGGGCCCGGGGGCCGGAAGCGCTTCCGGCCCGCTGAGGGCCATGCTTGTTCGGGGGTGGCCGAGGGGCGGGACCGCCGATGGGCGGCACTTTTTTAAAAGGAAACTGTGTGGTGGTTGATTCTCGAAGGCTGGCGGTTCCTCTGCGGGTCCATCCTCTAGTGGATCTGAAGCCCCTCCCAGCGCGGGTGGAGCCTTTCCAAGTTGGAGGTAATTATAACCAAGCGCCCGCGGTCTGATTGAAACGCCTTCTCGGGGTGCTCGGGTCCCTCGCTAGGTCTGTCGCGGCCCCGGGACAGGGGTCCTTCTCCTGAGACGGCGCAGTTGCACTCTCGGCCGGTCCCCTTCCACTAGGCTCCCTCGGCCGCCCCTGTGTCCTGGGCGGGCTGGGGAGCCGGGTGGTCGCACAATGCTGACCGTAGGTGCTGGACTGGACCCTCACCCCTGGCTCTCGGCGTGCAGCCTTCTGGGGCGTCCTTGTTATTCGTTATTTACTCTGGTCATCCACCGAATGCAATGTTAGGAAAAGGGAAGCCTGAGTCCGTTTTTGTTCATTGGAAAGTAACTTCACAGATGCTCTGGACCGGGCCTGAGCACCGGCACAGGCTCTCCCTTAAGGGGTGTGTGCGCGCGCTCGTTTGCTTCTGGTTTTCTTTTGTTGTTGGTTATTTCTTTGGGGTTTTCGTTTTGTGTTTCAAACCAGTGTTATACCATCAGAGATGTATTCCCTGATATAACCTTACACTGGCACCAGTCTGGAGAGGAGGGTAGTGGGCAGTGAGGAAACGACCCAAATGCCTGAGAAAACAACGTCTGGGGGTGGGGCAAGGGAAATGGGTTGGGGGGAGGACGCCTAACACTGACTCAGTGATAATGAAACTTCGAGAGTGTGGCCTGTCTCTTCTAAGTATTTCCAAGACCCTTCATTTTAAAAAAAGCATTTATTATTGAAGATTTCATATCCACACTAATGTAGAGAGAATGGTATAATGGGCCCACCAGCTGGGTTTTACACTTACTAAGTCACGGTCAGTCTCATGTGTATCCCTACCCACTCCCTCTCCCTCCCACCACCTCCATTATTTTGAGGTGAATCCTGTAAATAAACCGTTCATTTATAATATTCTAGTTTACCTCACAATAGCCCTACAATCTAGGGAATTTTACAGGTGGATAACCTGGGCCCCAGAGAGGCAAACAGATTTTACTCAGTGTCATTTTCAAAGCCTGTCCACAAAATGCTCCGATACACTTCAGCCCTGCAGAGTAGGTAGGAATAATTATTCTATGCATGACAAAAAAACCAGAGAAGCTTATTTATTCCTGCCCAAGTCACATGGTTACTAAGGGACAGAATCAGCCCTCCCACAAACTCAAAGCACTCCCTGGTTGCAGGTCTGCACTTTGCTGTCACTGCAGTGCCATTCTGTGGGGACACTTGTTGGTGTTTGACTTCCCAGCACCTGCAGAACCTCTTTTCTGTGTTTGAGAAAATTACTGCCTTATGGCAAGATCTGTTCCCCTTACAGCTAAGCTGGGATCAGCCAATCAGACACAACCACCTAGGACTTTACTTTTTTTTATAAAGATACTTTTCATTTTTTATTTATTTATTTATTTATTTATTTATGGCTGCATTGGATCTTCGTTGCTGCGTGCAGGCTTTCTCTGGTTGCGGTGAGTGGGGGCTGCCCTTCATTGCGGTGTGTGGGCTTCTCACTGCGGTGGCTTCTCTTGTTGCAGAACATGGGCTCTAGGCGCGTGGGCTTCAGTAGTTGTGGCTCACGGGTTTAGCTGCTCCGCAGCATGTGGATTTTCCCGGACCAGGGCTCAAACCCGTGTTGCCTGCATTGGCAGGCGGACTCTTAACCACTGTGCCACCAGGGAAGTCGCACCTAGGACTTTATAGATGGAGAGCTAGTGATGTCAAGGAACAGGGACAGTGGAGACTTCGTTTTGATGGTGACAGAGGCGTCCCCTGCAAACATCCAGTCTCCAGGGGCAGCAGAGACATTGAATCCAGCTGCAGCGCTCAGCTGCCAGTGCCAGCGGTGGTGCTGGTGACAGCTATGGGTGACCAGAACGATGTCCTCATCACAATCGCCCTGAGGCGTGTTCTGACTGGGTTCTGAAGGTTAGCTTCCCTTTGTCCCTGTTTGCTGAGCCCGGTTCCCCAACTTTCCCAGAGATTCTGAGTCATCTGATATCTTATCGATAAATTTCGTTTATTTGAAAAGCAAAAACACTTTCAATTGCTTGCCTTAGAGACCCTAACTGACCCAGACTCCCCTAGTTTCCAGCTCCACGAGAGTTTGGCTGGCCTCTTTCAAATGGCAAGAGGGAGGAATGTGAACAGTCAGCTACGGTTTGCACGGGGTGGCCGGCACTTGCACACACACTGTCATTTCAGGTAGAGGAAAGGCAAGCTCGTCAGCTGACATCACCGCAGAGTGTGTTCTGCAGGCAGGGCTTTCCCTACCCCTTCTCTCTGCTTTCGTAGCCCAGGTCACCCGCCACTGTTGCTCTTCTGCTCGCAGATCCAAGTGCCTAACAGAGGCTGTTACCACACCGGCTTCTTGCCTGCGTGCTGCGAAAGCTCTGTGTCTTTGACTCTTTATTCTCCACATCTGCTTTCCCATTCCCCCGGCATTGAAGAGGCAGAGCCCTTCCTTCTTCCGCCTTCTGCGTTGTGGCCCCATAAAAGCAGGATGTGGGCAAAGAGCTCAGCTTCAGCAGCCGGGCCAGGCGCTGGGCTGAACCAGGGTCAGAGATGAGAAACCGTCTGCAGCCGGGCCAGGTGCTGGGCTGAACTGGGGGCAGAGATGAGAAACCGTCTTTTTTTTTTTTTTTGTCTCAGGCACACAAGTAAGAGGCACCTCCTCGTTTTATTGCCATCTTTTAATTTTGGCTTAGAGATGAGTGCGTATGTGTGTATCTTGTGGCAGCTCTTGATGTCAGATTTTCTTCCTTTCACGTTAAATCTTTTTGGGTGGAATTTTAAGCATCCAGTATTTAAGTTCAAGAGATTCCATGTAGATCACCCTGGGCTTCTGAAGTCAAACCTAGGTATTCTGCCAGTTATATAATATAGCTGTAGTTTGGAGCACCACCTAGGCACTCTGCATATATCTTTAATTCTCGCAATAATTCTATAGCATAGGTGGTCTTACACTCATTTGATTGGTAAAACAAGGTTTCAG